CCAGCTGCAAAAGACAATAGTATTACCAATGCAGCCACAGCACGAAGCAACCTTGACGCAGCCATTACAATGCGATCTGCAGAGACTGAGTTGCAAAACACAATAGAACTACGCGCAACGGCGTCGGAAATTGTAGCTCCAAAACCGGATCTCGACGCCAGAGCGAAAAAAAGACGATTTTGAAGCACTTTTTAAAAGGATTTTTAGAAGGAAAATCACTAGCGCCAAAATGGAGAAAATCTGCTGACAAATCACTGTCGCAGCCTTCATGCAGCCACTCCAATACGATTTACGAAGTCCAGCTGCAAAAGACAATAGTATTACGCATGCAGCCACAGCATGAAGCAACCTTCACGCAGCCATTACAATGCGATCTGCGGAGACTGAGTTGCAAAACACAATAGAACTACGCGCAACGGCGTCGGAAATTGTAGCTCCAAAACCGGATCTCGATGCCAGAGCGAGAAAAAAAAACGATTTTGAAGCACTTTTTAAAAGGATTTTTAGAAGGAAAATCACTAGCGCCAAAATGGAGAAAAAAACGCATTTCGTGCGAGACTTCCTTCAAAACTCCATCGGCAACTCATCCACCAGCACCACTTGCAATCTCTTTTACATTGCGGGAACGATCCTACAGTTGCAAATCACAATGGAATTCTGTCGACCGCACATGCACGAAAAACACTTGAAACCCCATTTACAATGCGGAACCGATCCGAGAATGATCCGACCATGATCCGACCACACACGAGACCGTCTCGCACCCGTCGCACCGCAGAGGTAGATCATCGGCGTTCGGGGACGGACTTTGTATGGAAAAACACAGGGTTTCGTGCATCTGCTATCTCTCAAAAACGCATTTCGTGCGAGACTTCCTTCAAAACTCCATCGGCCACTCATCCACCAGCACCACTTGCAATCCCATTTACATTGCGGGAACAATTTCTTTGACTAACTCGTTCCCTAACGAACTCTTTCTTTGCTCTTTCTTTGACTAACTCTTTCTTTGCGAACTCTTTCTTTGACTATATATATCCTGACTAACTCTTTCTTTGACGAACTCTTTCCCTCACTAACTCTTTCTTTGACTAACTCTTTCACTCACTAACTCTTTCTTTGACTAACTCTTTCCCTGTAACTGTTTCTTTGCTAACTCTTTCTTTGACTAACTCTTTCCCTCACTAACTCTTTCCCTCACTAACTCTTTCTTTGACTAACTGTTTCTTTGACTGACTCTTTCTTTGACTAACTCTTTCTTTGCGAACTCTTTCTTTGACTACCTCATATATCCTGACTAACTCTTTCTTTGACTACCTCATATATCCTGACTAACTCTTTCTTTGACTACCTCATATATCCTGACTAACTCTTTCTTTGACTAACTCTTTCCCTCACTAACTCTTTCTTTGACTAACTCTTTCCCTCACTAACTCTTTCTTTGACTAACTCTTTCCCTGACTAACTGTTTCTTTGCTAATTCTTTCTTTGACTAACTCTTTCCCTCACTAACTCTTTCTTTGACTAACTCTTTCCCTGGCTAACTGTTTCTTTGACTGACTCTTTCTTTGACTAACTCTTTCTTTGCTAACTCTTTCTTTGACTAACTGTTTCTTTGACTAACTCTTTCTTTGCTAACTCTTTCTTTGACTAACTCTTTCCCTGACATTCTAAAAGTCCGTAACACGGAAGTTTCTCCCCCTAAACTTCCTTTGATCATACGGGGAGCACCCACATGCGGTCACCTTTTTTTTTTCAGTGTCATTGTAACTTTGCAATTCAAAAATTTGTTTGGTACCCCCTGGTCCTTTATGGCCAGCTATTATATGGGGACCACCCACAGACGGTCAGCACTTTCTTACTTCCAGCATCTTAACCCAGGACCTTTCTGAACAAACCCTTTGCCACGGGTGTTTGGCTGGATGGTCCTAGCGGTTGGACAAGGCACCGATGGTCCGCGGGTGTCATTTGCAGCCAGTGTTTTAAGTGCTTCCCTGACAACGTATGAGCTGCTTGGTGACGAGCAAGGGACTTCTCCATTATTACCCCTCTCATCGTTACCTCAGCTCTCTTTTGCCCCTAAGACAATTTCGTACGTAAAATTCACCTCTTGCTGCCGATTTTGTCCTTTGACAATGGCTTGTTGGAGGTTACCAACGCTGCGGCGCTCTAGCTCTGAGTCTAACCCGCATAGCTGCTCCATCGTCAAGGCCATTGTGAATACTGTTCAATTGCCTTATTTCAGCTTTCATCAACTTAGCCACGTTGAGCCTCCAGTTCTCTGGATGTTTGGGGGACGTGGAAGGAGAACTAAATTTGTTCCATTCTCCTCATAACCCAATCTTAAACTGATAAACTGTGGGGTTGTTGGATTTCAATGGCTACGGAGCGTGAGTGTTTAAACTCCGTGAGCACAGGGCCGAGGGTAGGATGAGTAGTTGTCTTAGCCAACTTTTTGCTACAAACCTAACCCTGCTTGGCACAAAAAAGGCGAGTACGTCAATCCTAGTTGCTGGACCTCCAGTTTTAGGATTTACGTACGCTCGGCCTTTTTTTGCTCAAAGCGTGGCTTTGTCTTCTACCTCCCACATCCTGCCCTTGGCTAAATTTGTTCCATTCTCCTCATAACCCAATCTTAAACTGATAAACTGTGGGGTTGTTGGATTTCAATGGCTACGGAGCGTGAGTGTTTAAACTCCGTGAGCACAGGGCCGAGGGTAGGATGAGTAGTTGTCTTAGCCAACTTTTTGCTACAAACCTAACCCTGCTTGGCACAAAAAAGGCGAGCACGTCAATCCTATATATAGAATGTAAGAATTTGTGGAGCGTTTTTATGAACTTGTGCGGCTGATTTCAATTATTTGCAGTTGCCAGTTTCTTGTTTGGTGGCATTCTCCATACGATTCATGTTCTCAAGACTTCCCAACGCTGCCAAAGGGCCCAGTCCCTTCGCCAGACTGGCTTGACTGGCGTGACTACTGGCTTGAGCCAAGTGATGAGAAACTACTTGGCTGGAGCAGAGCTGCTCTGGCTGTTGAAACAACCTGGGTGTTTCCCAGCTAAAAATCGTTCAGATTTCGAGCTCATGGAGCTGGATATCTTTTCTCCGCAGCCTGGCAAAGTCAGTCTCGGAATAAAAATCAGACCCGTTTGTGGAGGGATGGGTGTGGCTGGTAGGGATTGCGAGGTTCCATCCGTATAGGGTTTTGGGGTACTATTGCGGTTTTACCAATATTATTGTCTTGGCATGGCATGGTTGTTTTATTTTGAAGGTATTGCGATCTTTCATGTTCTTTTTGAGGGACCTGACCTGGTCATGCAAAAGGCACGCAGGCGCAAACAAGCACAAATACCCAGCGTTCGAATACACTCGACATACAACTGACCGTCACTACAACTGAAATGCACCGACAGCTATCAGACTTCACCCATGTAGATCACAAGAAATCATTTGATGGAAGAAATGCGGCACCAGTGACCAGCAGTTGAGTCCCATTTTTGCAGGGGAAAGGTTCAGCAATTCTTAAAAGAAAAAACATGTGAAATTTCCTGCATGAACTATAATTAACTACAATGGACTGGCAGGGCTCTGCTTGCATTGTTTACTTCAGAACCAAAGTCGCAGAGATTTGCGGTGACATGTCAGGCTTCAGCACAAGGTGGCCCAGATCAAAGAGAAATCAGAGCGTTTAGCCTTGCTGGAGCTGGATTTCGTGCTGGAGAAGGTGGGGCCGATCCATTTGCGAATCCTGGTGATGAATGCATGTGTTTTTTTTTCAGATTATATAATTGGAAAACAATTTTCATGCTTTTGTGATCCGTCTAACTTGGCAAAATGTTTTGGGCATTTGCTTTATATTAAACAACTCGGGCACCACTCCGTAGATTAATCTGGGAAAGGTTTGGGAGATGGTGACAGGTGGCAGGCAACTGTCATGTCTCAACTGGCAGGAGCGTCAAGATGATGCATCCGAAAGTGAGGAGAGGGTTTGGAGCATTGATCCAAGATAATCTTTCTGTGCAGCATTTGCAAACCCTCAATCAATGCCCCATGGAGGAGGAGCCAGAGAAACCGCGGCGGCGGGGCGAAAGGCACAGAACTCAGGGAAAACAGCTGTCTCATCCCCAACAAAGCTCAATTCCAGCATCAATTTGCATGCACCCGTTTTCCAAGGGCATCGTCGCGACAAGTCTGACACCAAGGGCTGCAGCTCTTCACAACCTTCTGCAGCTCTTCACAGAAGCTGAGGCCAAAAAGCGCCGATCCCGGCGTTTTACATTCAGGGACTGCAGCTCTGTTTGGGTTTTGGGGAGAAGTTTAGGAGGAAGGAATTTGAAAGGAATCAATCAAAGCCGATAAGTTTACTGAGTTGCCAACTAGAGACATCCCCAGCAGCAGTGAGAGCAAATAAAAAGCAGGTGTAGTGTGCAGCCTCAAGAAACAGGAGGCTCTGGACGTCTTCATGTAGCAAGCCATATAGTATCCCAACAAAATGGGGGCTTAGAGACGGTGACAGGAGTTGGCGGAATTGGTCTCTGTGCACACCTCAGGGCCTCAGGGAATGTGTCTTACAGTGTGGGTGAGATACACTCCTGGCCTGTTCATGCTTCAGATCCAGCAGATCAAAAAAAGTGGCACCACTTGTTGCTATTGCTGTCTGTTTCATTGACTAGTCAAGCAACACATCAAGGATATTTTCTAGCAGTTATCATCCTATGAATCCTATGCATTTATGAAGCTAGATGCTTCTCATTGACGAAGGCAGAGGGGACGCCAAACTTCTTTAGCTGCGAGGCGGCGAATGCATGTCTTGGAGCGAGAGCAAGAGCTTGCAAGTTAGACGCACATGTTCAACCATTTGCTCATGACCAGCGAGCAGAAAACCGAGCTGCATGAATTGTATATGTGGAGGTGAGCAAAGGTATGGAAATTTATATACTTCTTGACTAGGGGTCTACAATCATTTGTGGACTGGTTGCATTCTCCTCATGTGTTTTGGCTCAAGCTGGGCCCTGGCTGGCGGGCGCTCACCACGTCCGTGCCCATGGCCATAGAGGCAACACTGTGCTCGGTTGGCGCGTGGTCAGTTCTTGATAAGCATTCTGTTGCAGTCCACAATTCGAAACAAAAGGGAAAATATATTTGGGCTGGGAGATCCCTTTTTATTTCCAGCATCTAAAATCCTTATACAAGTACTCGAGACTTGATTCAACCTTGACACTTGGGGAGTTGCCATGCTTGGTTGCACGCCAGGGGCAGGCCGTCGAGTGCTATCCTGAGACTTTGGACTTGATCTGTAGGTTCACAGATGGATCTTGGATCTATATATAGGGACCCATGAGGGCTCATGGTGCCCACAATAGCTTTGTATCTCTCAATATTATGTTTGAATGTTGACCATGCCCCGGGCGATAAGGCCCCCCAAAAAGAAAGCGAAGAAGGCCAAAGACCTGCCGAAAGGCCAGCCCTTCCGGGGTTGTGATCTGAAACAGCGAGGAACTGACGGAGCAGTAACTCATGGATAGGCAAAAAGAGTTTATCACTCGTTGCGACATGGCATCGTTCCTTCAGTTGTTGGCAACTGTTGGTATCATCAAATGCCCACCCGTCTCACCTCCTAGTGTTAAGATCATGTCTAAAAATCATTTTACTGGGAGAAGTACTTGTACCATTGGATCTTTGGTGAATGCCTTTGGAGAATGATGATATCGTTGCACAATGCTCTCAGCTTGTTGCACCAGCAGCTCAGATGATCGCCAAATCCATTTCCGCAATTACATTCCGCGAACGCCTGGGGCCCTTGACACCTGGAAAATCTCGAAAAAACTTGGAAACACAAAAGGAAACATTCTGCTTGCAGTTGATGCCAGCTGTGGAATGCCCAACTGAGGCCAGACCTGCGGGATTTTTGCCTGCCCAGGAGCTGTAGCAGCCAGCCGAGTTGAAAGCTCCGTCAATTGCATTCCTTTGTATCCCAAATCGTGTTTTTGGATTGTGGAAGTCTCAATTTTCTCACTCTGTCTTTGACATGCAACATATTCAACATAGTTCAACATGTTTTCGATTTAAGTCTGAAGCGAAGCGTAGGATCACCTCTGCAGACATCGAGGTGGGGGGGTCTGCTGACGAAGGGTCATGGATGGTCAAAAGACAACACATTGAATGTTTGCGAGAAATTTGGACAAACATGCAATCTACATCTATCATCATCTATCTATATACATGTATCATGTATCCACTCACCACTATCACCGCTTTTGTCTGCTTGTGGAACGATGGTGATCGTCACAGGAGGACTATGTGGAAATTTCAACTGAGCCCAGGCAGAGATTGACAAAGAGATCCAGGAGGCCATTGCGGCTGCTGAGGCTGGTGGGCGTCGCGGCTACGGGCTAACAGCGGTCCGAGACAGGCGAAGCGAAGAAATTCTGCGCATATCATGGTTGTCTGGTTGTCTACAAATTGTCAAATGTTAGGATTCAACTGATTCAACCCGATATGATATGTGTTTGTGCTGATACTTGGGACGTGCATGGATGTGCTTACCATGCTGAAGCCAACTGAGCTGCAGGATACCGATGCAGTACTGGCCATAGCCCCGCGGAAACCGAACTGGGCCCAGTCCTGAGTGTCTGCAGGGGTGTGGTGCCAGAAACCTCCAGGTTGCAGTCCAAAGCTGTCCGGTTCTATAGGAATGCAGGTCAGTTTGAGACCCTCACTGAGGACCTGAAGCGGGATGTTGAGCGGAAGATGCACACGCTGGCGGCTCGTACCGACCGTGCTGTGGCTTGGCAGGCAAATCAGGCAATGCTGCTGCAAATTGTAAGCATTTCTGCATTTTCTGCTTGGGAAGCGTGCAGAATGGGGAACTGGGGGAGTTAAAATTTCCAGGAGTTCTGAGAGTTCTGGGAGTCCCTTTCCATTTGATTATGATGCTCCCCAGTTCGTCGAGGCCATCATCAAGAGATCTTGTCGCTAGATTCGGCCCGTGTGTCGCTCAGGTCGTGCAGCTAATTCGTCAGCGCATCAAGAAGGACTTGGCGGTCCAATTCAGCTGCTGGATGTTGCTATGAATCTGGGAAGGAGATACAACCTCCAAGATCAGGCGCATTTTCAAGGCATGAATGGCCACAAAATCAGAGATGGATTGAGGATGGTAAGAAATCACAAAAAGTTTGAAGCTGCGAAAGTAAGTGGATTCAAAGTCTCTTGAGAGTTAGTTTGTCCCTGCAACCCCAAAAAAACAGCTGGTGGACTATTGTTTGTTTTCTTCTTGCCAGCTGACCAATCCTCATGAAAACCCCTAAAGCTTCTCGCAGGATGAGGGCGGAGAGGCCAATCTCGAAGACAAGAAGTAAATGCCAAAAAATGGAGGTGCCACCTGATATTTGGACGTGGTGATCCAAACTTTAGTTACTTTAGTAGTTCCAAAAGGGACGAACGCCATATAATAGGCAGACATTTCCAGGACCGTGGCAGTAACAAAAGTGAATCAAGTGATGGTTCGAGTCAACTTTGGGGTGGATGATGTATGCTTCTTGACAGGCGCGTGTGGTTTCACCGCTTGTGAGTAGCACGCGACACCGCGCATCGACCAAATAGCTCTGGGGAAAATGGATCTGTTTGCACTGAGCCTTCTGCTACTGCTTTTAGTTGCTGAAGATGTTTTAAAGTTCAGCTCCCTCAAACATTGGTTGTAGCATTCTTGGTCACCACGGTGTCGGAGCAAGCACGGATTTGGCACAACCTTGCTTTCACTATCAGGTATTGACAGTGATTCACAGAGCAAAGACCATCAAAGACTGGTTGATTTGAAGAACTCTGGCCAGGTAGGTCCATCCATGTGGCCGAAACGTCTCCGGTGTCACTGCTTGAAGTGGGCGAGGCGAGTGGTCGTTGGAAACAAAGCACTTTTACAACTCATGTACTTTTACGAGTACTTTCATGTTGTCCGAAATGACCTGCAGACATGATGCACTTGGAAGGTACAAATGTCCTCGGTGTCTTGGGCCTTTCTGCAGCCTCGAGTGCCAGAAAGCTCACAAAGAGGTGCACTCTTTGGCATATTTGAATAGAAAGTGAAACTCTGCTTGGCCAGAAAGAGACTTTTCTACCAGAACATCACTATCCCCATGTTGCCATGACAACAGAAGTCCCCTAGTCGATGCCAGGCCCCAAAAAAGACTTGCCGTTGAGCAGCAACCAAAACTTAGCTGGCTGTTGCCTGGTGTATGATGTGCCCAACCGCCAGAATGCCAAGCCTGGAACTAATTTGCGTTGTGCAGGTGCTCTGCAAATGACGCCAAAGTAACCTGCTGCATCCTGTGGGCACTTGCATCATCGCGCCATGACTTTGAAGGAGTAACAGCGGGGTAACCAAGTCGATATCATAGCCAGAAGACTTGTCCTTGGACAAAACAGCTGTTGCCAGGTGCAAGCTGCAAAGACAACTGTAGCAACTTTTGCTTTCTACCGATGTGCCCAACCTTTTAAGCCTGGAACCATCTTGCGTCATGCAGGTGCTCTGCAGGTGACCAAAGCAACCTGTCGCATCCTGTGGGCACTAGCATCGTTGGAGAAAATATGCTGCGGTGCCATACAGTAGTGAGAGAGGGCTGAACATCGGAAGTATTTATTCGAAGTTTCAATTCTGCCACCAATCATCGAAATTGATATAGCAAGTTGCCACACCATTCACCTGCGAAGTAGCTTCATTGCTCCGAATCTGTTCCGTAGCGCTCAATCCCTTTGGCTCTATATATAGCACACCCTTTCAAAGTGTCCGCCGGCAGCAAAGCGGCGAACCAGGGGCCAATACCACGAAGCGCCCTGAGAGCGCTGCGAAACGGCCGAGGCGGCAAGCAGTGAGGCTTTGAACTTGAAACTTGAAAGACGGTATTCTTCTGGTGAATTTTTGGAATCCTCTTTGATGTTTCATGATGTAGTGGTTGAACGACATTCAGTGAAGTCAGTGACGAGCGGGCAAAGAGCATCTAGCAATCTATATAACATCTTCTAGACGACTTTTGGTGAACAACGCAATTCTGTGGAATTTGGAGTCTGTTTCGCAGCAATACTTCATGGTGATAGATTATATTGATTGGCAACACTACACAGCTCGTCCATGTCCAGGCCGCAGGCAGCAATGAGGCCAGCGTTGGGAGTGAGAGATGGTGCATGAGAAGGTGAAGGTGAAGGCTCTTGTTTGGTAAGTCAAAATCTCGAGAGTGGAAGGTGATGAGGTAAGGTGAAAGTCTCCGATGGAACACCTACAAGATTAATATATATATATATATACATACATACATACTATTGCGTCTACTATCGCGTCTTCGTATCCTTCACGCATCGATTCCAGATGCAAGTTTTTGTACTTTGCTGCTCAGCCTAGATAGCGATGACTAAGGTGACTCTGAAATGCTTGGGAAGACCTCAGATCCTTAGGAATTGTCGTTATGTTTGGCATTTCTGTATTTCTCTGCCTATGCAAGGCCGAAGGGATCATGGACTGGTGTGCGGAAGCAGCAGCAGAACAGGCTTCGGCTGGGGCTAAATGTCTGAGTGAAGTTGTGGGGATTGAACGGATTGAACCTGTTTCGCCTCCACACGAGCCTTTTGCGATCAATGTTCTCCTGTCCTCGTCACTTTCTCTGCAAAGTTGCTCTGTTCAGGATGCAAGCCATTGAACAGCTGAAAGCAACTGTATGGGCCTTGGCTTTTTGGGCAATCAATCTTGCGAGAGACTCTGGCGCACACTTGGCTTGGTGATGGTGTCTATTTGACCCTCAAGCTTTATTACTTCTGTGGCTTTCAATGTGGCATTGATATGTTTGAGTCGCTCTCTCTCTCTCTCTCTCTCTCTGGGAAACAGAAAAAACTCTACTTGGCTGTTCATCTCTATGTGTTGACTGACTGACTGACTTGGATAAACAGATGTGATTGTCATTTGACACATATCAGACTGTTGATTTATTACTTAATTAATCTTAATTATATATATACACATACATATCCCTGGAATGAACCACGGCTGGAACGACGACTTTGAACTTCCTGCCAGTATGGCTCTGCTTAGGTTCGGTGTCAGCAGGCGCAGATGTCTAGCTTGTCGCGGAGGCGCGCACTTGTTACCTCAAAGAAGGAACAGGACATGCATGGTTTCCTATTCACGAGCAATTCTGGAGACATGTTCACAAAGATGCATGCACCGCTTTCTCTCTAATGCTCCCACACTTGTAAAGTAGAGGTATGAATTAGTATGAATGTGCCCATCTTGTGACCCGTTCCGGAGTGCTTACACAGATTCAACCCTTGGTGCACCCACCTGCTTCATAGCCATTTGCTGCACAACTTGGTGCGAGATCACAGTCTAGACGAGACTACTAAGTGCGCCTAAACATGTCCAGCAACCCCACGACAGTGGACTTGTTGTCGGATTTCGATCCCCTCCGTGAAGCACCGACACTCTCTCAGACATTCCACGGAAATGATGCTTGGCTGCCGCGGTAGAAGTGTGACAAAAAGCATTTTTGGTCCATCGACAACTTTTGCGATGTTCTCTTGTTTGTTCTACGACAAGGCGTGACGCAGATAGGTAAACGGTGAAAGATCCCCAGTCAAGTCTATCAGAGTCTATCAGTCTATGATGGAACACCCAAACTGGAGCAAGCCTTTGCTTTCCTAAGGATGAGTCCCCAGCCCCGGTGGTGCTCGTTCAGGGACGAAATGAGCTAGACTCTTGGCTTGAAGGTGCCAACGAGCACACAGTATCTTGTTTTCACCTAAGCCATCAGTTTTTGCGAAAGCCCAGCGTATCTTGTTGCTGCGTCTCAGGAGCTGTTTGTAAAGCGGTGGTGAAAATTTATGGGTATTTGTAGATATTTGTAGCAGCTGTGGCCAGCTCTCTTGGGTCACGGATTCTAAATTTGGTTTGTCGATTCAATCATGCTTGGACCACAGCAGGGTAGGTGTTCAAAGTGGGACACAAAGACAGAGGTACAGTCTTGGGCTACGGATGCTACTGTACTTTGACATATGTCTGACTTTCTTTCGTTTATCAATTTGTCTATATAAATAAGTCTCTCTCTCTCTCTATATCTATATATATATATCTGTATATATATATATACACACACCCATTTCACAAATTCAGTCGTTTGTTTGTTCAGTCCTTAATCCAATATTTATTTATTGTAGAGCTTCGCACACCGGCGATGCCTGTAGGGGGCCGGGGGAGGGAAAGAGAGAGGGGGATTTCATCTGAACTTGCGGACATGACATGCTGCGAGCTGCATCTTCGTTGTCGTCATCGTCATTGTCGTCGTCGTCGTCGTCGTTGTTGTTGTTGCTTCTGGTCCTCCTTCTCGTTCTCGTTCTTGTTCTTGTTCTTGTTCGTGTTGTCGTTGTCGTTGTCCTTGTTGTCGTCGTTGTCGTCATTGTCGTCGTTGTCGTCGTTGTCGTTGTTGTCGTCGTCTTCGTCGTCGTCGGCGTCGTCGTCGTCGTCGTCGTCGTGGTTGTTGTTGTTGTTGTTGTTGTTATTGTTGTTATAGCTGTTGCTGCTTGGTCCTGTTATCGTTGTCGTTGTTATCTTTGTCTCAAAATCGTCAAATCGACGGTTTTTGCGAACCCCCAAAAAGCGCCAAATAGGCGGTGTTTTCGCGATTTTTCACATTCTCGGAACAAAAATACACCGTAAATACCGATGTTTTTGGCTCCGCGCCAACGCAAAACCACGGTATTTACGAGGTTTTGAGCCTCTGCTAGCAAAAATCACGGTATTTACAGTGTTTTGTGGCCCGGGCCTAGCAAAAACACTGGTATTTACGCAGTTTCCTGCATGTTGTCAGAAGCTTTTTTTTGGATGCCAAAGGCACAAAAACATTGTAAATTACACGATTTTTACGCGTGGACAGTACCAAAAATTATGAAAAATTGGCCAAAAATCGACCAAAAAACGCCCAACAAGGACCTCCAAAACGCATCTTCAAATTTTACCCTCTTTTTTCCCACCCCGAACCCCCAAAAACGTGAAAACCCCAGCAGGCTGAAAGATTTTAGGGGAGGGTCGGCGGCAGGGGCGCGCCCCCGGGTAGCTAAAGCTATGCTTAGCTGCCACCACTACACGGCGAGGCATCGCCGGATCTATGAGGCTTACGCCTGACAGCCGGGCGCCGGCCAAAGCAGGGTGTGCGTTGGGTGTAATCCATGTCCATGTTCTGGTGTTGTTGTTGTTGTTGTCGTCGTGGTCGTCGTTTTTTTTTTTTTTGTTGTTGTTGTTGGCCGATGTTGGCCCTATCTGGGCGCAGGTTTGCCCCTGTCTTGGCCCTAGGTTGGCCCATGTAGCGTAATGTCGACCCAGGTAGCCCACATCTTGGCCGATGTTGGCCCTATGTTGGCGCAGGCTTGCCCCTATCTTAGCCGTATGTTGACCCATCTAGCCCTTCTGTCGGCCCATGTAGCCCACATCTTGGCCGATGTTGGCCCTATGTTGGCGCAGGCTTGCCTCTATCTTAGCCTTATGTTGACCCATGTAGCCCACATCTTGGCCGATGTTGGCCCTATGTTGGCACCAAGGCCGTCAAGATGTCCAGTTTTCCGTTCCGGACCCCTTCCTAAGACCCAAAACCCTGAAAAACCCATTGTTTTTTAACGTCGCCGAGATGAAACCCGGAGACGGCGAAGGCCACAAAACCCTGTAAAAAACGATGTTTTTTGAACACCACACGCAGAATACACTGTAAATTACAACGATAATCGTGAACACGGGGTGAACCGGAATCGACACGAGGTGGGTCGGCGGCAGGTGGCAAGCGTATATAACCTTCGGTTACCAACCGAAGGCCTCCGGCAAGGACACGGGCGCGGGGCCGGCGCCCGGATTTATGAGGCTTACGCCTGACAGCCGGGCGCTGGCAAAAGCAGACCCGTCAGCCCGAGCGGGCGTTGGTGGTGTTGTTGTTGTTGTTGTGGTGGTGGTGGTGGTGGTGGTTGTTGTTGTTGTTGTTGTTGTTGTTGTTGTTGTCGTTGTCGTTGTCGTTGTCGTTGTCGTTGTTGTTGTTGTTGTTGGCCGATGTTGGCCCTATTTGGGCGCAGGTTTGCCCCTGTCTTGGCCCTCGGTTGGCCCATGTAGCCCACATCTTGGCGTAATGTCGACCCAGGTAGCCCACATCTTGGCCGATGTTGGCCCTATCTTGGCCTATGTAGTCCCTATCTTGGCCTTATGTCGGCCCATGTAGCCCACATCTTGGCCGATGTTGGCCCTATGTTGGCGCAGGCTTGCCCCTATCTTAGCCGTATGTTGACCCATGTAGCCCTTATGTCGGCCCATGTAGCCCACATCTTGGCCGATTTTGGCCCTATGTTGGCGCAGGCTTGCCCGTATCTTAGCCTTACGTTGACCCATGTAGCCGTTGGCCCTATGTTGGCACCAAGGCCGGCAAGATGTCCAGTTTTCCGTTCCGGACCCCTTCCGAAGACCCAAAACCATGAAAAACCCACGGTTTTTTAACGTCGCCAAGATGAAACCTGGAGACGGCGAAGGCCACAAAACCCTGTAAAAAACGATGTTTTTTGAACACCACACGCAGAATACACTGTAAATTACAACGATAATCGTGGACCGGGCGTGAACCGGAATCGGGCGGAGGTAAGTACGAGGTGGGTCGGCGGCAGGGGGGGCAGCCGTATATAACCTTCGGTTACCACCGAAGGCCTCCGGCAATGCCACGGGCTGCGGCCCCGGGGCCGGCGCCCGGATTTAAGTGCTTACGCGCAACAGCCGGCCAGGGGCCCAACCATGGGGGCCGTGGCGGCGGACGTAGGTGTAGTGGGTCTTGCAGGGACCAAGACTGGTTAGTGTGGTTGTTGTGGTTGTTGTGGTTGTTGTTGTTGTGGTGGTTGTTGTTGTTGTTGTTGCTGGTGGTGGTGGTGGTGGTGCTGCTGTTGTTGTTGTTGGTGGTGGTGGTGTTGGTGTTGGTGTTGTTGTTGTTGTTGTTGTTGTTGTTGTTGTTCGCAGATCGACCGTGCAAATGTTTTGGCAGCAAAGGAAAAAGCATGTCTACAATGAAGGCAGCCTGTGTGGAACCGGCCTGTATAGGCAGGAAGGGCTTTGATTAGTATATCGGAAGCTTGGGTCAGCTCGAGCGTTGCGGAAGCGAGTGGCAGAGCGTTGCTCAGACGGAGTGGAGAAGGCTAAGGGTTGCTCAAGGGCGTGTCAGAGCGTTGCTCAGCTCGACCAGAGAAGGCTAGCGGTCAACCCGGCTTGTTTTGAAGGGCATGTTTGGAAGAGCGCCGCAGGCAACGGCCTGTCGACAGGCAGGGTGCAGGACCTTTGGTCAGCCAGAGCGTTGCTCAAGCGCGGGTCAGAGCGTCAGATCGACCAGCGCGACGCCACTGCTAAGAACGGAACACGGCATGTGTGCAGTGAACACATTGTCTGTCGTGGCAGGTTTGAAGCCGTGATCCGCCAGAGGGTTGGTCAAGCGAGTGGCAGAACATGGCCCAGATCGACGAAAGGAGGTCAGCAGTGAACCCAGCCTGTTTCAAAGAGCATGTTTGTCCGATGAATTATGTCGCTTTGGTCAGCTAGAGCGTTGCTCCAGCGCGTGGCAGAGCGTTGCTCAGACCGACCGGAGAAGGCTAGCGGTCAACCCGGCGGGTTTTGAAGGGCATGTTTAGAAGAGAACCGCTGGCAGCGGCATGTGCACGGGCAGGGTGCAGAGCTTTGGTCAGCAGTTTCGAACGTATTTCTCGTAGCCTTGCCGACGGAACGTTCAAAGGGCAGGCCGCCTGTGCCTAGCTTTTTTTTCCGTCACGACAAGTACGAGCTTTGGTCCGCTGCACGAGCCCAGTGTTGGACCAAGATTGGTCCCAGCATATGCCCACTATAAGTTATAATCCCCGCAACATCTCCATAGTAAGCCCAAGGATCTACCCACCTATAGCAATCCCATCGGCGGGCGACGTGGGTCGAGCCGGTGGCCAGGTTATCGCGTGACAGTGAATTGTAATCTCAGCAGGAGCCTACCACGTAATTAAGTTCCATATTTGTCCCAGCATAGTCCCATCACAATCCCGCGTGACAGTGAATTATAATCTCAGCACTAGCCGCCTACTGAAGCCCAAGAATATGTGTCCCAGCATAGTCCCATCATAATCCTAGTCGAGTCGCCATAGTCAGCCGAAGATTTGGTCCATTAGAAGGCCAAGACGTATGTCTATACGTCGCCCATGGGACGAACTCATGACGGTACCTCCCAAAGGAAAAGGCATGCGTACAGCGAACGCAGCCTGTGTGGAACCAGCCGGTAGGGAAGAAATGTCCTGAGTAGCACGTTTGAAGCCTTGGTCAGCTAGAGTGTTGCTTAAGCGAGAGTCAGAGCGTTGCTCAGATCGACCAGAGAAGGCAAGCGGTCAACCCGGCATGTTTTGAAGCTAGAGCGTTGCTCAAGCGAGAGTTAGAGTGGCGGTCCGATTGACCAGAGAAGGTCAACTGTCAACCCGGCTTGTTTGAAAGCGGCATGTGTCGAGAAGCAACGTAGGCGATCCCAGGCCGACCAGGGCTAGAGCAGTGCGAAGGCAAGTGGACAACATGGCTACAGCAGTGCAAAGCAGCAGTTAGCCAAAATTAGTAGTTGGATACGGCGTTCCCGCCAGGTCACGCCACAGCCGGTGGAGGACAACGTGTTCGGACCCAACCTCAACCAGGTGAAGCGGCAGCCGGTTCCGTCGCCTG